CCGAAGGGACATAAAATACAGAAACAAACAGCATTTCTATTTTAAGTCCTTTACCGTTTTCGATCTTCCAACCAATGCTGTATGTTGTTGTATAACTTTCAGAATCGCCCTGAATACATATACAATTTTGTTAATACATGTTCTTTTTATTAACTTAATTTGCACTTTGGAAAGAGTTCTTAGTTGAACAACTTATATTCGATTATTATATTATACATAATTCATTTTACTTTAGTTGAAGAAAATCATCTATTTTTAACTAACAAACCATGTACTTTCTCGTTTATATCCTTTATAATATAGTTGTTTACAAATTTTATATTTTCCAAATTTTTAGTGTCATTTCCTTTTTAAGGTAAATATTTTCATTCAAAAACTTACGTTAAAAATCTTCTACTTGACTCAGTAAACCCATTTGAAGAATATACAGGTTTACTAATCAAATGTCATTCACTTATTTTACACACATTTATTGGTAAAGGTGACTACGATATTTATGTATAATGTGTAAATTAAGGTTTGGTATACCAATTGCATGTATTCCAAACATTGCAAATAATTATAAACTTATAATGTAAACGAAAGTCATAATATTCAATCTATTCACCAAGCCAACATTCAATCACTTGTAAAAATATATTTTATTTTAGGGTAAAAATTCTCTAACTATTTTTTCTAACAGAATTCTGGAAAAGAATATCAATGAGACAACTGTGAATAATTTGTTTTCAATTAGTTTTACAATAATTCTTATGCTCTTAAAATCAAAAACATTCGAAAGAAAAACATTAGGGTCAAAACTTGGGGACTCGTATTGCATTTTTAAAGTTTTCAAAAATTTCAAAACACCAAAAATATTTTTACAATTCTCTTTTTGAGCATGTTACAAATTTCAAAAGTTTTACTCAAAATGTGCTTATTAACTTCACTTTGTCTGTCAAATCATGTAGGTAATTCGTAAATTCGTCAAATGAAGAAAGTTTATTTTTTCTATATTGAAATAATAAGAACATACCACAATTTTAAAACAAGCTCGAATAACATCTTTGAATAACATAATATCGTAAAGAAGTTTTTCTCACATTTCAGAGTTTTTTATGTGCCACATGCAAGGGGAACAAATCTCAGTTTTAAGATTTTAAATAATATTTTATTCTATTAGAAAATATTTTTTTATTTTTTTTTGTATTTTTGGTGACCGCATTTTGTACATCAAGGTAGATATTTTTTTTGGCACAAAATTTCGAGTTTGCAACGATATGTAATTACAACTGCATTCAATTTTTTAACGTTTGAATCAACTTTATCACTGAACAACATAATCAAAACAAATTCATTGAAATTTTTGGAAAAAATATAAAGCAGACGCTTATGTGCTGTTCATATCAGATTTTTAGTTATTCTTTTTATCGCTAGTTCAGAAACTTCAACTTTTTCAACATTTTTTCAGAGTTCTAAGAAGTTTATGAGGCTCTTGTACTTGCTTTTCAACAAACTACTTCTCAAAATATTTTAGAATTCTCTTCATTTTATATTGACTTAAATTTTAAAATTGAATGATGTAAAACAATAAGTTACATACCCGTATGATGGTCTTATACGGATACTGTCCTACTAAAGTTTTAATACACCAGAGTTTGAAAATTTTACTGCTTTTGAAATTTTTTTAAATTGATATTGACTTTTGCTGTATTAACCTACATACATAATTATAATTATATTTGCACAGCTATAAAAAAAAACTTAAAATACCAACTTATAATTTTAGAGCAACAGGAGCAAAAATAATTTTAGGTATGTAGGACCTATATAATAATACATACATTTACATGTATGCATATATGTATTATTTTATGACATAAATAGAAAAAAAAAAAGAAAGAAATATAAAATTTTAATTTTTTTATTACGAGTATTGTTCATGAACAAATATTACAACTTTTTTATCGACTGTTTTTAATATATGTATTTCCCCCAAACTTTATCTGAATCAACAGAAATGAGGATATAGGAATTTATATCGTGTATATACTTATGCATATGGTTATGTATGGGCAATCAAAACTTACATAGCTATCGCAAAATTTACATTTTTCGCACCAGATGTTGAAAAATTTTGTATAGACAAAAAATTTTCATGTTCATATGTAAAACACAAAAAGCAAAACAATAGAAAAGCAACATGAAATTACAATATGTAAATTTCAAAAGAGTATGTCACATTTTTACTCACACATTTTATTCTAATATGTAGCAGTTTTAGATATAAACTTGATATATTTGAGTGGGAAGCAATAGAAAATAGAAGGGAAAATCAATTATTTCGACAGATCAAAACATGAAAATATACAACAGTTATTTAGTTTAATACAACTAAAACAAGGATGTTTTGAAATTAAAAATATTTTTAGATTGAAAACAAATTAATAAAGTTGGGTCAAACCAATGGTTTGTATTGTAGCACTTTTCCCTTCAACAAGTGAAAATACTGCTTTTAAAAACAATCTATGTATATCCACCACACTATTAAAATTATTTTCATTCATAAACGAAACTATTTCTAGGATTGCATATATTTAGGATGAACGATTTATGCAGTCTTTGAAATAGATAAAAATTAATATAAAGGGGGGTTAACATAATGCTCGATTTTAAGGGTTAATTGTGTGAGTTAAAAAAAATAATTATATTTTTTAATGTCATGGAATTTACCGTTAGCTTTTTGCGTTTATAGAAATTTGAAAAAGCTTTCGACTTCGGAAATATAAAGCATCAAATATTCAAATTTTACAAATTTCAAGAGGCGAGAAGTTGAGAGGAGGTGGAGATTGAAAAAAATTTTCTTCTAACGAAATAAAGTATTTATTAGTGTCTAAAAGCTACTTTTCAGGCTCCTACAACCTGGGGTCTAGAAGAAAAACGACATCAAAAAAAAAATGGATTTTAGATAACGGTAAATTGTTTTTATTTTAATTTTAGATAACGGCCATTTTGTTTTTTTAGAGTTTAACTATACAATGCCACGATAGGAGAAGCAAGCCACTGCCCTTCTGCATTTACAAAATTTGAAAAATGCTAATGGTTTCATTGCAACAAATAGTTAAAAAAGACCATTTTTAGGGGATTTAAAATTAGTTTTATTCCTTGTATTATTAATGTTAAGCATCCTGCTTAAAACTGTGGATATTTTGTTAATATACTAAAATATTTGAAATTTTGCATACACTTATAATGAGGAAGAAAAGAAAATCTAAAAGAATTGTCGAATTTTAACGTTAAATAAGTGAGCTAAGATATATAATTCCTTTTTTTGATGGCATGGCTTTTACCGTTAACTTAGACGATAACTTGATCGGTGAACATGAAATAAATTTTTCTAGCAAAATAAATTAGATTTCAATTGTTGTTTACAAGCTGCTAAATTTCAAATTTCTACAACTTCCCGCCTAGAAAAACAACAATATCAAAAATTCGAAAGAACTGGGTTTTAGATAAAAATTTTAACCGCCTTTTTGCCACTTTAGTATTTGACTATACTGTTTCGAGGTAAAGGAAGTTAGTCAATTCTTTTCTGCTTTTGTAGTTTTTTAAAATTATTTTGCTTTCTACACAATAAGAAGTCAAATGACGGCATTTTTTGGAATTCGAGGGGCTGCAATTTTCAAGAGGGAATAATTCCTCTTTAACGCTGTAAGAGTAACAAAAAATTTTTCAAATTGGCTTTATTAAATTTAATTATTTAGAATTCTTATTTACAATTTTCAAAATTCTACAGAATTTTTTTAAGAGTTCCTACAGAAATTTCTTTTTTCCAAATTATTGCAATTGCAACAATAATTTATTATTTATCTACCAACACTTTTCAAAGTTTTTATAACAAATCTAAACAACCTAACATATTTAATGAAAGGTAGAAAACGCTTTTGTACATGAATAAAGAATGTTCTTTCACTCAATTTATTTAATTTTAAATTATTCAATTTCTTCTTTGAAATTAAAATTTTCCAAGTGTACATAAATGCATGCAACATGTATGTACATATCTTGTCTATATATATATGATAAATCATTATATTAGAATACTAGAATATTCTAGTATATGAATATGAAAATTTGTTTATTTTTAAATAATTTTATGAGGAAAATTTTTCACACAGTGCTAAAGAAAAACATAAATAAATAATCTTAAAAAGCTAAGAAAATCAAGGATTAAAAATTAAGATAAAATTAAATAAACAAGTATTTAAGTTAAATAATATTTAAATAACTAAGAAAATAAAAACTTTGGGTTTAAAAGACTGAATACTAGAAAAAGCGAACTCTTTGTACGAATAACAAGCAAACACTTAATTGCAAATTTTTAGCCTAAGTTGTTGTTCTTATTATAGCTAAAATCAACATTTGAGAAAGAGATTGCCGACTTTTTAAACATTGTGTAAATAGGTAAATATTTGATCGAAAAATCCAATTTTTGACAAAAAACTTCTTTAATATTGTTAACGTCTTCAACTGCCATCGTTTTTAAAAATAACAAAATACCAAAACAAAATATTAGTTTTATAATCCAACACATACTTCCAAACTAATACCGAATTGAAATTGATTTTCTGTTGGATTTTTTTTACCAACCGTATGTTGTTGCCATCACATAACCTACAATAAGGTAGGTCATGTGATGGTAACAAATTTTACATATCGAGTTTTCGGTGGGAACCCACTTCTTTTTGTTATAGGAAAGTATAAAAAAACTATTTATAGCAATCTGTCTGTCTGTCTGTCCGTCTGTGCACGCGTATATGTCAAATTCGGCTTAATCGATTTTCATGAAATTTCATGATAAGCAATGCATGCAAACTTTTAAATATGCAAAACAATAAAAAAATTTAAAGAGGCGTTAACATAATGTTACGAGTAACATCATTTAAGGGTTAACTGCGTGAGTTCTTCTTCTTCTTCTTCTTCTTCTTTCTCTTGGTGTAGGCTTGACAGCCTGTTTGTAACTAATTAGCCTCCTGTGAGGTAGAAGTCCAGCTATCCATCCACCTTTTGGGCGGTCGTCCTGGAGGTCTGTTGGTGCCCGGTATTCCTTCTTTGGATATTTTTACGATCCTGCTGGTATCAATTCTAGATATATGATCGTTCCAAGCACGTCTTCTTTCCCTCACCCATCTAACCACATCTTGGATTTCTAAAGATTTCCTTATATCAGAACTGCGGACACGATCTCGCAATGTAGAGCCATTAATATTACGTAGAATCGCCATTTCTGCAGTGCGTTTGTTAGTTTTGGTTCTACATGTTTCTGATGTTGTTTCTGCTGCATAAGTCATAATTGGTCTTACACATGTTTTGTAAATTTTGACTTTTGATGTGGGGTTCATGTACTTATTTTTCCATACAATATCTTTCAAACATCCGGACACTCTTGCTGCCTTGTTTACTTGTGCGTTCACCTTTGTTTGTTCTGAAACCATGACCTGCGTTTTTTACTTCCGCTATTATTTGATCCATTACAAGATTAAACAGAAATGGACTCAAAGAATCCCCTTGTCTAATTCCTGCCGATATTGGAATTTCGTTCGATAGCTCGTTGTTTACCAGCACGTGAGTTGTTGTGTTCATGTTTAGTTCCTCGATGATTTTAATGATGTTTGGAGGTATGTTCTTGTTGTTCAGAATCTTCACAATATCCCCTAGCTTAACTCGGTCGAATGCCTTTGTTAAGTCAACGAAACACATGAAAGCTGGTTTTTCAAACTCTATAGATTTTTCAACAATTTGACGTACAACAAATATCGCATCGATTGTGGACCTGTTTTTACGGAAGCCTTGTTGTTCTTCGCTCAATGAAATTCTTTCGGTTAGAAGTTTCTCGAGAATTTTCGTAAATAATTTCATCACTGCGCTGAGTAAAGTTATTCCCCTGTAGTTTTCCAATACGTTTTTGTTCCCCTTTTTGAAAATGGGTATAGTGATACTTTTCCTCCAGTCGTTCGGTACTATTCCATGGTTAATGACGTTTTGGAATAGTAAAGTCAATTGTTCGTATAGGTATTCGCCACCATATTTTATTAACTCATTATAGATGCCATCGTGTCCGGCTGCCTTACGATTTTTCAAATTTTTGACTGCCTGTGTCACGATTTCAACACAAATTGGTGTGTCTGTACCTCTAGGAAAAATAGTTTCAGCTACATATTGTTCCATGTCATTATATAAACTGTGGAAATATTTTTCCCAATCTTGCGTGGATATACTTTGTGTTTGTGTGTATTCATTTACTTCTCGCTTCTGACGTCTGAGCATTTTCCAGACCTTTTTTTGGGAGCCGTATAAGTCTCTTTCCATGTCTGCAGTGAATGCTGCCCAGTAACTTTCTTTTATTTTTCGAATGCTACTATTCACACGATTTCTTGTTTCCCTGTATTGTTGGTAATTTTCAGGTATACGATTGCTGACGTAGTTAATAAAGGCTACACGTTTTTCCTTAACTCACGTTTTTCCTGCGTGAGTTAAGAAAAAAATTGTATTTTCCTTTATCTCTCATAGATTTTCCGGTAAATTTGGAAAAGTTTTTAGTTTCGGAAATTTAAGGTACAGAAAATTCCAATTTTAGAAATTTCGAGGGGCGACAACCTGATAGGGGGTGCAGGTGGAAAAAAATGTTCTCCAAACGAAATGAACTATCTAAAAATTTCTAAAGTCTGCTAAAATTTCACACCCCTGCAACCTGTTGTCTAGACGAAAAATTACATAAAAAATTTAGAAAAGCCGGATTTTAGATAATGGCAAGTTTTAACGGTCATTTTATTTTTTTAAACTACAAATATTGTATGCCGCGGGAGGAAGCCACCCCTTACATTTCTGCGTTTGCAAAATTTGAAAAATGATTATGATTTCACTACAATAAAAAATTAAAAAATGAAATGTTTAGGGTTTTTGAGGACTATAACTTTAGGTAGGGAGATAGGTAAAAGTTTTCTTCTACGGAAGTTAGTTTCTAGCAACGATCTATTTATGTATGAAATTTCAAGTTTTTATTTAGATAAGTGTAGAAGTTTTGTTAAAACACACATGGACAGATGGACGGATGGAAACTAATAAGCCCTTTTTTTTAATATTTTTTGAGAATGTCCTAAGAATTTAGAACTTTCCAAAAAAATATTAAGAACTTAATTAAGTAGTCACATAAAAATATTACATGTCCATACTTACATTTATTTGTATGATTAGCATATTTTTCATTTATCTATTTCCATACAAAGTTTTATTCAGTTTTCTGTTATCTATATGCATAATTCTATGAGTTTATTCCTAAATTTATATACATTATATAGAATAACTGTCGATACCCTATTATACACGTGACGACATATTATAATTCCAAAACTTTACTCCTACGAAAAAGTTTTTTTCTTTAACGCATTCTGACAATTACACTACGTGACAATTAAAAAAAAGGGAAACCGAAATAAATATACTCTGTACGTGTGTACAGATAAAATTTATATAAATAAAAATATTTTATGTTCATACATACACATATACTATATTACGAAAATAAAATAACAAAGCCAAATAAAAGGACACTTTTTATACACATTGCCTTCTTTATATGAAATTAGTTCATATGCCTTTTAAAATTTTCAGGTGTACCGAATATAAAACGTAAGATCTAAAAATAGTTGGAAAATTCGTAGGAATTTTAATCTAAATGAAAATTAAAAAGAGAAATTAAAAAAAAAAATTATTATAATATAGAGTTGCCACAATCCTCCAATCGGTTTTTAGAGAATTATAACTTGGTTTCATATAATTTGATGTCTTTGATATGCAAAATTATAAAGATATTTACTTGATTTATCTAACTGTTGATTTACCCAAATATATTATTTTTGATCTAATAAAATATAGTATCAAGTTCCATGAATCAATTTATGAATAATAATAGATTTTTTGAATAAGTCGTGTCGAAATCAAAACCTGTTTTTATCAACTACATCTAAAGAGTAGGTACCACATTTGCAGCAAATACTGATTAGTTTAATTAGCAGATAACTACACTAAGCACTCTACATAATCATTTCTCGATTTCAACAATTAATATAGCTAAATATATCCTTTGGCTGACGTAAATTGAAGTACCCTCCATAGATGTTAACTTGTAATTTGCAGATTTTTATACGAATTATTAAATCTGAGCCCATTTTCACTTTGCTTTTAATTGAAATTCCAATTATGACTAAGTTGAATAGGGCTGCTTTATACATATATTGGGTGGTTCTAAATTGGGGTTAAAATTCTCAGGTGAAAGTTCCTTCGAATTTTAAACGAACAAAGAAGTATTTCAAAATACACCAATCCCAATTAACCAAAGTTTGGATTTTTAACTAGATTTCCATTTGGATAGGACCAGGATTGCATCAGAATTCTTTAAAAATGGTCACTATCATTGAAAAGCATTTAAACCAGACATAACGACTTAACAAATAAAAATATTGACATCACTCAAAAGCTCTCTATTCCAAATAGTGCCCACGATTTCCCTTAAGCTTTTTTAAAATACTTTTCCTCTTTTTTTCAGAGAACTTTCTCTACCTATTTTTACCTTCTTAAATTTCTATATTATTGTATAAAATAGGCTACTTCAAATAAAGGTTAAATGTTTTTCTAAATTATACAACATTTATAATAATTTTAAGTAAAACATTTGGTATCTGGCAGCTCCATTTGTATTCATTTACAAAATACATATATAATAAATATTGTTTTTTATACATATATAAAAAATACATTTGTGTAATAAATTTTTGAAAAATATTGTGTAATATAAATTTAATGTACTTATATTTACAAAATTAAAAGCTCAAAATGATGATATAATTATTTAGAACAAATATTATTTTATATTTTTCTATATAGGTATGTGCATCATTATGTATAGATATATATGTATATAAAAATATATATATATATATATGGACAAATTTTCTTTTATGAATAAATATTAAAAAAAAATAAATATACAAAGTAAACAAAACCGCATAAATGCTATTCGTTCAAATTAAATTAATTTCCATATCAAAGGCAAATGGAGATTTCATTATTTTTAATGTAGTACATACAAGTATGTATGTATGTACTTGCTGTTGTGTAAGTAATTTATATATATATATGTAATACACACATACAATAAGTACTCGTAGTTATGGTTTGTAAATACATACTAGTTATGAACCTATTTAATTTATGAAAAATATTATGTTTTTACCCGCACTAATTTAATTATAATTTCTTTGATTCAAAAATTTTCATAAAAATCTTCAATAAATAGTTATCATAATTATAAAAAATAAATAAAAAATTATAATTGAAATTATTTACATATAACAAAAATTTATTGAATATTAAAAAACTCCTAAAATTAGTTAAAACGAGAAAAAAAATAGAGTTGACCTTGTCAACTCTGTGATACCCGTACGAATTTGTTATCCTATGTGCGAATAACTAATGTGCCATAACTAACTATTGGGCAGACTATGTCTTTAAGTTGCCGTATTAACATATTAATTTATGCAAAATTTCAGTACTATGTGTTATTCAAAATACTGGTTGTGCCAAACTACTATTGATGTTGTATGGCAGCTACCAGAACATCGGCCCTACTAATATATTCACTTGTGTGAAATCTCAATATCACAGCTTTTATAGTTTCTGAGATATAGTCAAAAAACTTTTGAAGTTGTATGGCAGGTATCAGAAGGAGCCAAGTAATTTCAACGACTTTTATGTGGCATATTGGCCCTACTAATATATTCGTTTATGTGAAATTTCAATACCATAACTTTTATAGTTTCTGACATATAGCCAAATAAATTTTGAAGTTGTATGACAGCTACCCGAACCGGTACCCCGATTATGTCCAATTTAAATAGGGTTCTGGCACTTACTACAATAAATCATTTGTGAAAATTTGGTGAACTTAGCTCAATTAGTTTTTGAGTTATCGTTCGGACGGACGGACGGACGGACGAACGGACGGACGGACGGACGGACAGACAAAGCTAAATCAACTCAGAATTTGACGCTGATCAAAAACATACACTTGAGTCTATATCTAACACCGTTATTTCTTAGCGTTACAAACGGTAAGGCAAATTTAGTATACCCTTCGAACATACGTTCGTACGGGTATAATTATCTGCATACTTTTTTTCTACATACTTAAAGAACAGAACTCTGCACATAATAGAATTGTAGCTCTATAAAAGTAAAAAAGTACTCATTTAGTACTATATAATTCAAAAAATTCTATTTATTAAGAAGGGAA